ACGCAAGAAATTGCCAAGGTGAAGCTGGATCTGCCAGGTCGTGAGCAGGTTGAGCCCTGAAACTTGGCTCAACCTCCGAAACTCCTTAAAAGAGCAATGCACGTCCTGAATCTTCACCGCCTTCCGAGCTCGCTCTTCCTGCAGCTGGCTCCGCCGTTCTGCAGCTTCAACCTGCAGAAAGAATTTGCAGATCCAGTCTTCAAGTTATCTTCACTCGATTCATTCGGCAGGAGAATCTGATGCTTGCTGCTTGATTTCGCCCAGGCTGCCTTGCGCTTCTTGCTCTCATCCCACAATGACTTGTCTGGAATACTCTCCTCGCAAAAAATAGCATGGAGCTTGCAATCTTCTCTCTCTCTCTCTCTCTCTGGCGGGCATGACTCGTTCCGGAAAGAAAGGCGTTGATCTCTTACAGTGCCATGGAGGAGCAGCTCTTCACGGCTGCAGTTGCCAGTGGGCTCCAATCAAATCAATGAAGTGCCAAGCGTCAGCAATAGCTTCCCATGGTATCCTTATCACAAATGACATGGCGGCTGGCAACTCTGCTGTGAATGGCACACTGTCTGCTACTGCAACTTGGAGGCTCACAACATGGAGACGCCTTTCGACAGGCAACATAAGCTACATTCATCCGGCCAATCCTGCACGTCAACAATGGAATTGAGTTCCTGAAGCCTCCCCATTATATAAGTATAAACTGAACTACCTGTGCAAGCAAGCCCGAAGACACAAGATTCGGCCGGGTTCAATGTCAAAAGAGACATGAACACATGCCATTATCAAATGTTGGGCATCCGCAATAGCAAACTATTTTAAACAGTGCTTCCTTTATCTTTTCTTGGTTTCTAATAGCAATGGCCTCGAACCTGCTAGCGATGGCCTCGAACCTACTAACGATGGCCTCCAACCCAGAAGCGATGGCCTCCAATCTACTAGCGATGGGGCTCCAACCTACAACCTACTAGCGATGGCCTCCAACCCAATAGCAAAGTATTTTAGACCTAAGTGGTGCCAAGAAATGCACCTATCCATTTCGCTCTCCAAATCTATCTGCGGTCCTCTCCATCTGGCTGACACTAAGCTCAAATCCGGATGCAGTGTTTTCCAGAATTCTTGACGATCGGACAGACCTGATGAAAAGCCACCTTCAATTACTTCAATTGATTTGAAAATGCATCAATCAATTTGTCAAGCCATCTGTCTGTTCAGCCAGGGCTCCTTGGGATGGGTATGTATCCCATTTGCAAGCACCAACCTACAAGACAAAAAAACAAAGCAGCCAGAGCAGGCACTTCCTCACGGTCCACCAACGGTCTTTCGCCCAGGGGCGGACCGCAACTGCTGCCTCTGTTTGCCCGAGCTCTTGGGCAATGGTCGCCACTTCCTTGCTGAGTCCGGAGATGACCCGAGTTCTTCGGTGACCAGTCGGAAAAGGTTCACAAGTGGTGCCGAAACAAAATCAAGATTCGGTCTTTCCAAACATCTCGCCCCTGGCCAGTGGTGCCATGCACATGGTGACTATCCCGTGCGTCCTCGGCTCGCCGAACCCTGGTGGAATGTAGGATTCGGTGGAGGTGCAGCTTGTCGAGTCCTGTGATATTCTGTGAGGGCAGGAAGTTGTCGCCAACCTAAGCTTGATAAGTGCGGCAATTTCACCATGCCTTCGTGTGCTTCAAGATCGGAGCTGCAGAACATAGACACATGTTACTAGATCATACCTTAAAGAGCGTCGGTGCACATCGGCGTCTCCGGAGCAGATGAGTTGTCAAGCAACAGTGGACTTCCACCTGATTCACCTCGGGCAGCTCCAGGCCAGATTGCCCTCAGCGTACTGCGTGCTGCACTGGCACAACCACACTCTCTCTTTTTTCTTTCTTAAAAGCCCGCTCCGCCTGCTATAATCAAGTTGGCGCCTACTTAATCAAGCAAGGGCCAAGTTATATAGCTCCTAGCTACTGGACGCAGGATAGCTCACGCTTGTACTATTCATTTGGTTCCGTGAGTGTGCCAGTGTCCTACCACATGTGTCAGTGTAAGAACTGCGGCTGAGGGTCTCATGCCCTCCAGCTGATGGGCACCGAAATTGGACACACCCAAGGCACCAATCAGGCCTTCATTGCGAAGGCGGATCAATTGAGGCCATACCTTTGCCCGGCAAGTTTGCTTTGTTTGGGCGGATTCATGTGCCATTTCCTCCGCGCCTTCACTCTCTCTCGCTGCTAGGTGTCACCACACAAAATGTGCTTTGTTGAGCTTTTAACCTCACAGCAATCTTGGCTTTGGGCGTCTAAAATTCGGCCCGCCCGCGGGCTTTGCAGCAGATAGAGATCAATGCAGCTGCAGTTCAAATTGCCTTTGGACAAGGCGTCTATGTTGTCTTCATGCGATTCTGCGTGTGTTTGCCCGATTCAAGCAAAGGGGCGCAAAGAATTCTCTACAGACGCGTGCACCGCCTCCGAACTGTTGTGCGCCATCTGGAGGAGCTTCCTTGGATGGTACTGAACTCTCTGCAACACCCAAAAGGCTCTCTGGCACTGAGCTCTCTTTAAGAGCTCTAAAAGGTCCACTTAACTCAATTCGAAGGCTGGCCAGGTAGCTGCAGCAGGACATGGACTTGAGGTAGGGCGGTGAAACACGATGAAACAAGGAGCGAAAGCGAGGGCGGTGAGGGTCACACGCACTTGTTGGCAATTGGCCTTCAAAGGTTCAATAGACAGGGTTTGACTACTCTGGTTGGGAGTTCTGGCTAGGCCCTAGCTAGTCCAGCTCAGTGATTCTTCCAATCAGCCGATTGGAGCCGACCCCTGGAGAATACATCAAAGCATCGTCGCAACCACCACCTCTGACCGCTCAACGCCGGATTGACGAATGCCCTCCACAACTGCTGTCTCCATGCCTGAAGCCCACCAGAACTTGGACAAACCACTTGGATTAATATTGGTCACACACACAATGTGTAAGTGTACACATATATGTTTCTTAAAACAGAAAATTACATATATAGATATATAAGTGCATCTAAATTTAAAAAAGTCCGCCCGCACCGAAAGTGCTCAATGGCCATAGGCTGCTTTTGGCAGCTGCTTGGGGTTTGTCCTGGTCCCCGGGGCTGGCCTAGACACCTCTTTCTATAGGGCTTTGAAGGCAACATTAGGCACTGGCAACCGTCGCTCCCTGCTCTAAAGGGCCAGGGTGTTTCGGTGTGGCGGCACCGAGGTTTTGGCGTGGTACATGGGCAGCCGGCCATAGGCTGCTTTTCGCAGCTTCCTGTGAGTTCGCAATTTCATGTGGCTTCCATTGTTCCATTGTGGCTGAAGAAAGGATGAAAAGAACCAAGGCAAACACAGACACGACTCTGGAAGACTAATACCTTGCGAACATGAAAGCATACGACTAAAGCATGAATATGTAAGCCCCCCCAAAGGGGGGTCGGCGGCATCCGGGCGCTAGCTCATTCTATCCGGCGATGCCTTACCAATGACCATATCAAGCATAGCTTGCTAGACGGAGACGCGCCCGATGCCGCCGACCCTCTTTTCTAGCATCACCAGGGCTCAGGTGGATTCGTCAAAAAACATCAAAAACACATGGAAAATGATCAAAAATTGCCACTGATGAAAAAGTAGCTGCCAACCGAACCTCTTAAAACATAAAGCATTGAAAATGGATACAAGCTTAGAGGAGAAGTTTGGGTCGAGCATCATTAGCATCAGCAGAGTCTCGGCAGGAAAGATGCAAATTCTGTGGGGCACGACTAAGCAGAAAACACTGTAAATTACAGCGGTTTTGCAATGTGTATGTAGTTTATGAACAACGTTGCTCGTATTGTGGTGATGCCAATGGTGCTCGACACAACTGCTACCTCAAAACTTCCTCTCCTCTCCTTGGGTTTTAACGGTTTTTGAAGAAAATACCTACGTCCTAGTGATGCTCAAGATGTCGGTTTGCGGCCGATATTTCTAGCACCACCTGGGCTTATATATCGGCAGTGTTCATGACCACTTTCGAGGAGCCTCCGCATGCACGCAGTCCCCCCATGGGCATCGCCGGTTGGCGAAGCCTGTCAGTATGATTGTATATGTCACCTGTGCAGCTTTAAACTTCTAACATTCAAGGCGCTCAAGGAACAAAACCACCCCTGGCCTGAAAACAAGCTTGTGTCCACCAAGCGGTAGCCAGTCCGCAGGGCTGTTTTCACCGCTGCCACCAGTCTCCGGCGCCCATCCTCAAGGGTCACCTGAGGCTCTCGTGAACCACCTGGGCGCCCAGTGCCAAAGCCAAGCTGTGGAAGAAGCAAGCCGCGGCGCAAGGGAATCCTGGTGGCTCGGCTCGATGTTCAACCGGCAACAGCCAAAGAAAAGGCACAGCTCGGCCTCTGCCAAAGTCTGCCACCTGATTCAAAGACCAGTCAGTGTCTAATGATGTACAGGGTCTATACAGCAAACTTAATAATGCCCCACGGCCTGTGCTGGCATTTTTAGGAGGGCTTGTACAGAGTGAACGCCTGAATGTTAGAAAGTTCGGCGTCAAACCTGTTAGATACATGATAAACCAACCGTGTATGCACTTGTTCTCGTGATTCCATATAGGTCAATATACAGGATGTCAATATATTCCTGGAAACCCAAACAGCCACAAACAAATGGTCGTTCCAATATGGCAATTGAAATCCTTTACATAGGAGATGGCTGTTTGGGGAAACATCCATTTGTTTCTGGCTGTTTGGTTTCCCAGATTAATATTAACGTTGCTTTTGAGTCAATGCCCGCCGCCTCGAAATGGAAGACGAGACCACCAGGCATGCACTCACAACGAAACGTCGGTGCTTCAAATACTTGGAGGACTCACGGCTCATACATGGCCAATACTAGAACGCCCCAACCAGTATGGGTGATGCGGATCTTGACCTTGTAGCTTCGCACGAATGAATGAATACTGTACCGTCAATCAGTCACTTCCGTCTGTAGCATGTAATTTCATTCCCATTCAAATTGAGATGCTCAGTCCAAGCACGAAAGCCCTGTTTGCATCATGTCCATTGCGTCAGGAAGGTCATGAAAACCAAAGACTTCCATTCCGCTGCCGGAAACTTCATCCAGAAGCTGTGCCGCTTTCAGCTTGCGAAAAATTGCACAAGCCCTGGCCACAGCACGGTCTTTGGACAAAGGTGCCCTTCTGAAGGCACGGATGAACTGGGCCATCCTCACCCTCGAGGAGCAGTTGGGACCTGCAGCCAACCAATAGTTCTTGTCACCAATCTTAACTGGGCTAAGACCACTGCGAGATCCGTGCACGCACCGCCTGACAAATCCACACTCCGCTGTCAGCATCACAGTTTCTGCACAGGATGGTGCAAGCAAGACACTGATCCCACAGCAGCAAGCTTCCTTGCTTCAGGGGGATGCGATGTGCCAAAGCTTGGATCGGGTCCTTCCATACAAAGCTTGAGGTGTTGGTTTGGAGTTTCAGCTTGCTAGTCGCTGCATAGTCCTGCTCATGAAACTTGAAGCTGGCACCCCCATTGCCAGGATGCAGCCAGTTGGAGTGCTGCCCTGGCTTGAAGAGCCACTCCTGAAGTTTCAAGATTCACGATGCACCTAAGCAATATATCGCTGAAGCACCTGGGGGCCAGACTGATTCTTTGCCCAGCTCAAGCTTCCATTCCATGAAAGCATTGTGAAAACCCGGAACCAGCTGAGTACCACCGTCTTCTTCAAGGTTGTCGAGCAAATTTAGAACTCCTTGAATGTGTGGGCCATCTTCAGCCTGTGCCGCTGGAGATGGACGATGGCCACACTGAGCCGTGTTTCGGAGGCTCAGGAGCTGAGCTCCGCACCCGGGATCGTGGGATCCTGCAGTTCGGCATGCGTTTGGCAGGTGAGGTATGATGGCACACGTGACATGCAAACGAGCTTCTCAAGTGAGAACTCGTGGTCGTGCCCCTCTTCGTACCGCAGGTCTTCAATCTGCGTGTTCCCATCCAGGTATCCTTCGCAAATCTGTAAAGAAACTCCTTACCTCACTGCCTCAGACACTTCCAAATGAGGCCAAGGGTCTCCATGGGTGCAAGTCCAGATGAAGATTGTTTCTGGTGGGAACTCCACCCCTCTGAGTTGCACGGTACAGGCACCATCGGTCCTGACCTGGCCCACCGAAAAGATGCCAAGCAGCTGTGAAATCGAAGCCCGAGGCTTGGGCTGACCAAGATCCCATCGCCCAAGATGTTTTTGAAGGCACGAATCACATTGCCTGTCACTTCAACGGCGACCACTTCGAACTCACTGGAAGACACCAACACATTGAAGTTCGGCGCTTCTTGCGACTCCCAGCGGCAGTTTTGACGGTTCCGTACCAGCTGTCTTGTGACGATCACTGGATCTGGCGGAAGTCCGTACCTGCAAAAGTTGGGGACGGCCTGCGGATGCGGCATCCGGCACATGGGGCTTCCGGCGCACGCATCATAGTAGCGGCCCGTGTTCGTTTCAGAGAGCACTCTCCAAGTCTCCGGGTCATCTCGCCTGAAGCCAGGCCTCAAATACAAAATGCGAGACTTTGTTGGGCCCACTGGGCGTAATCATTGGAATAGACCCTTTGGACCCTCAAACCGGAGGTCTCCCTGCTCCAAAAAAGACACCCGGCTTGTTGGTGAGGGTCTTGAAGCCAAGTGGCACTTTGCTCTCAAGGTAGCTCCAAATCTCATTCCGCGTTGCACGGCAGTCCTCCTCAGAGATCACGTCACGAAAAATCACGAAGCCGTACCTTGGCAGGGCACTAGAGCATAACAAATGGAAGGCAGGTAAACACTTATACGGTACTATATTATATATATATCTATTTATATATTTACTTATGTTCTATTTATTTATATAGATTAATTAAGCAATGCGCTATCTGACACTTCTCGTGTCCCTGCTGACGTTGATGGCTTTTCTGTCTGCTGGGAGGCTTGGCCATCCACGACTGGGCTGCTTCTACATCTTCCACCCTCAGATGAGACATGATGGAACACTGCATGTGTTATCATGCAGCCACACTCCTTTCGTGTCAAAGGCCGCGTGATTATCCATGGAAAGCTCAAAGCCCATACCATCCACATGAAAAAGAAAATCCCCCCCCCACCTTTAAAAAAAAATACAACACACACAAACGTGTCAAGAAGCGAGAAAGCCACCGCAAAGTTTGGATCACGCACGTCCCGAGGAATGTCCATTCGGGGCGGATAGGCCAGCCAGCCCCTTCTAAGGGTGCATGGTACCTCAATGACTGGGTGATTGCTTCTGCATGGTTCTGCACGAGGCACAACAAGCAAAATCCATACTCTGAGGCCTCTGCTTGCCTGCTCGCTTTTACTAGCTCTGCATGCCTCCTCTTCAACATGTTCAAGTGGGCATGCTCCTGCCGGAGTGTTTGTTCTGACCGTGCCAGTCGGCTGCGCAGAATCAACAAATGCAGCGTGCTGCATTTCTATCTGTTGCATTTCAGACACTCAGGGCCTTGGCGAGGACCTCTGAAGAGGCGGCCGTTCCTGTGACGCAATGCACGAGTTCGGACGAACGCACTTGGTCCGTTCCGAACAGCTTCCACCAGGCGAGTCACGTGCCAAACTCTGAACGAAGGCTTTCTTCACATCATACTCTGCGTTTGCGGCAAGTATGGCAGCCTCATAATCCTGCGCATGAGACATGACCATTCTGATTTTTTCTCCAAGACTGATTTGGAACCCTACACGGACTGGGATGAAAGTCATGAAAGGCTCCTCAACATGCCCACATGATGCCCCAGCAGTAGAACTCTGGTCATTCCCATGTGCTCTGCTCTTGTCCATATGATGGGTAGAAAGTGAGGGAATGAAAAAAAGTAACAAATACAGACTAAGGTGCAGGAAAAGAGCTTCTAGTTCCCATTCTGTCGACAAACTGCCATCGAATGTGTCAGTAGGATTGTTTGGCATCTTCCAGGGCTGTTCCGTCATGATCACTCAAACACCAGCGGTCACTAACGCTACTCGGCAGCATCGGCAAGGCAGGATCGAAATTACTCCTCTTTAACGAAAGCTTGAAACTCCATCACACTCTCAAGGTACAGGCAAACCAAAATGAAGTCGCCATTTGGAAGTTTTAGGCGGGTCACCTTCCTCAGCATCAACCAACTCAGTTTCCCTCTGTTCCGATGTCACTGCCACAACCTTGTTGCTGCTAAGCCGCTGCGTCGCCACCTTCCCGCTATCTGGTGGACTCAGACACGGTGCCGGTTTCCCGTTGGCACAACGAAAATTAAGCAGCTACTCAGAAAAAGCAAACGAGGGGGGGTATGTGTTTGTGGCTGTGCTGTGCTGCAGCAGGACATCCGTTAATGATGGAAAGCACGCGGGCGGCGCGTGATCAAGGGGCTCAGAGCACCAACGCACAAACCTGTTAAGTGCTACCCCATCCAGTTTTGCCATGTCCATGATAGCGTACCTGTGTTTCAATTGCAAGGGTTGAAAATGCCCAGGATCAACTGATAGCAATCCTGATTGAATGAATCACAAAAAAGAGATGAGTTTGATTGCTCTGAGCACTTCGAGCCATACTTCCTACTTGCCCACGACTTACAGTAACCTGTGATAGACAAGATCTGTTTTCGGGGAATGCTTCTGATTTTGCGCAGTCCACTGTATGATGACCCATTTGTACATATAATATATATATATATATATATGATGCGTTTTAATATCTACATATCTACACACATCTACATATACACATGTGAGCACACACCTTTAGTGTGGGTTTGTACCATGAATTTGTGTTCACCCCCCATCTCAGCATTCTCCAAAATGGGCAAATCATGGCTCCACTGGGGCTCACTCGCGTCAAAGGGTAACAGGAGGATTCATATCCACTCCAGAATGAAACGTTGATCCATGACATTCTGCAAGCAAATGCCCAGATGACAGGGGTGTTTTCTTGCAGAACACGCAGTCCCAACAGGTGGGCGAACGCGTGGACTGCTCACACGTAGGCCTGGGTTTTGGGAGTTCACATGGCATCTCTTAAACCTAAACTGCCTTGGAGTGGAACTACAATCGAGAGGGCCAACGGCCCGCCAAGACTACAATGTGACTACAAAAGAACTAGACTCACAGCTTGCGAAAACACAGAACACCATGAGGAACGATCTATTGTCAAAAGTTGCGTGGCCGGCGTTCTACAAATCAGAGAGAGGATGTCGGATACTCTCCATCACATGGTTGCCGCGCTGGCTTCCGCTGTGGACTTGGGTTGCTTGGGGGCCGAACGCTGTCCAGCTCTGGCAACGAAAGGCCCGGCCTTGGGCAGTCCATTTGCAGCCCATGTACTTGGCCAGCATGGAGCGCCAAGCCTACCGTCTAATTCTTCCAGTTTACCACTCCCGTTCTGTTTAGCCGAACCGCGCCAACTGTACCCTGGAGTCATACTGGAAAGCTCTCTATATAATCATTCGCACAACTGGTGAACACAGCCAGGAGCCGGAAGCTCCATGCTTCTGTGGCCTATCCTTTATAAAATTTCTTGGTGCCAAATCCACCTTGCAGCCCATCGAACTCTTCACCACAGCCCTGCCACAGGCCGGAGCATGGGAGTACAATACAAGTGCAAGGACAGTGCATTGTGGGCCTCTTTGGGACAGCGCAGCATCGTCTTGAGAGTGACAGACCCATCAGGATACTCATAACCTTGGCCACAACCCATGCCCAGCCAACGACGCCTTCTTGCCACCAATTAGACTGGTCTGAGCAAGAAACGGTACGTTGTTCGAGTGATCCTTAAGGCCATTCTGAGCTCAGCTGCGAATTTCGATGATGAGCATGTGTTCCACTCGTGGGCAATGGGCTTCGTTCCCGTCTCAGAAATCTGTTGCAAGTTGCTGAGACAGTGGAAAGCTGAACAGGAGGCATGACTTACGTGGTGCTGGACAAGTTGGAAAAAATGAGCGAAGGTCAAAAACTTATCGTATGCCGAAGATTCACCAGAGTTTGGTGTGCGTAATGTCCTCCATGTCCATCACATGATCGTTTTGGGTGAGTGCTAGCATTTTGCGAGCAAAAGTGTGTGCTTTCCCACGGTCACCCGCTTTCTTGAGTTAGTGAGCCTCTCTCACATCCCTTTGCGGCAGGTGTCTTGATTCTTACTTAGCTTGAGCCCAACATGTACGGCCGTGCCAAGGAAACTTGTGAATCGGTGATCATCCAGCACCTGCCTCTCTTTTCTGCGCTCCGCATTTTCAGGGCATCTCACATCCGACCCCCTCGCTCGCCGGTGGCCCAGGCATTTTTGTTACCGCTTGCGACGGCGAATGGCTGCGATCCGTGTGAGACGACACGTGTGAAACGCACTCTTGCAATCTATATCAACGTATCTGCTCCGAGAGGCAAACGGCATGGCCATCTCAAGCAAACGATCTGGACTTGTGCCTGAAACTGTGAGTTCAGTCTGCCAGTGGCAAAACTGGCAAAACTCTTAGATCATGCCCCGGTCCGCGCATAGAATGAACCAAAAAAACGTGAATGCCTCGTCTTGCTGTTATGCACGCCAGGGTGATCTGTGAAACCAATGAAACATTTACATTTTGAATTTTTGAATGGCACATGCTCGGATATTCCCAATGTTCTGTGAGCATCTATGCTTGCTTGGCTCACTCTGCCCCATTGTGAACTTCTTTAAACAGTGCAGAATATGCCATTCAAATAGTGTACCTGACTACTTGCCCGTCTGTGTGCGAACATTTCGTCGCTCACAGCCGGGGGGGTGCCGTTGTCCTCACCGTTTGGCCTTTCCAATGCCTGCAGTCGGGAAGCATGAGCCGTCTCAAGCTGTGCTTGTCCCCTCTCAATTTGTTGTGAAGCTTTGATTTCTTCCACTATGCAATCCTCACACTCCGCCTGGAGGCTTTAGGCTGCGCCCTCCCCCACCCGTGGTGGCTTTCAAGGCAGAGTTCTTGCCCAGAGTGCCTCGTTGCATCGGACGTCACTCGGGAAAAAGTACCCGATTTCAAGCAGTTGGACAAGGGACGGTCCATGGTGGCGGAAAGCTCGTCCAGCTTTTCCAGCAAGGCAGCTCCCTTTTTGGTGCTCTGGCCGTTCTGGCCCTCAGTGAGAGGAAACAATGAACACCTCTTGGACTCAGCCATCATACAGGGAAGGGATTTAAACACATGCCAAAAATCAAGCAACTGTCCTCTCTGAAACCACGTTTTTCTACAAAATGGCCGTGCCATTGTCTGCCCTCATTCTCTGACCCAGGCCCTGAATTTGGTCCCTTAAGCTTGCAGCTGTTCCCAGCGACTGCACAGCCCCCTTGGCGCCTGAAAAAGGGTAGGAATCAGGTCACCAGGAAAGGTGTGCGTGAAGAATACTTGACTCTGGCTTTGCCCTCCGCTTGACGTCCACAAATGCTTGAGACCAAACCTATCCAAACCTGTTGATTTCTCCTAATAAAAACTTTGCACAGCTGTGGCCCGCCTGGGCCACCACTTGTGGGTCCTGGGGGGCTCCCGGCAGGTCCGCTCCCGCCGGCGCTTGGTGGCCGGGCAGGTGCCTCGTGGTGAAAAATGAAGTTGGACGCTTTTTGGACGCCCCAATCAACGGCAATAGGATGGGGCAAAAAACGGATTTCACAAGCACAAATCAACTGCGCATTCATCTCTTAAGTTGAACGCCTGTTTTCTTGCGGGCGGTGGTGGTGGCAACTTCTTTGGGGCCTTAGTATGACATCCAAATGTGGAACACTGGGCGTGCGTGCCGCACTCTTTGTCACTGACTGTGTAAAGTATAAACACTATTGCGCACAGCCAAGCTGCTTCCACCTCGTCCTCCAGTAAACAATGGTAAACAGGAACATGGGGGGGTTCACCCGCTTGACTAGTGCAAAATGCACATCTTCCAGAAGCGGCTATGTGCCCAGTCCTCCAAGCCATCAATCGAGTCAAGCGCAAGCGTGCTTGCAACTGAGGTCTGCCTGGGTGAGCAGATGGGCGATGGCGACGGCCTCTTACGACTCTATAAACCTTTTTGTTGACTCTTTGCCTCTCTGCATAAAGAATCATAAACCGTCGCTTCTATGATAGAAGCTATTTTGCTATCTTGCGGTCGTCTCCTCTCTCTCTCTCTCTCTCTGTGTCTCTCTCTGTGTTTCTTCGGTGGTTATTTTGCAACCTAGCAGCGAAGAGAAAGTTTTCTCTCCTCGCGGAGTTTCTTGCTCTTCTGGCACGTTTGCGGGGTGCTCTGCACCTTGGTCGACGGGAGTACTTCCAAGCCAGCAAAGACTTCAATCATGTGCAAGTATCGTGATATTTGCTATAGTCCATGTGGACATCCAGGAGGGAAATTGTCCTGTCAAAATGACAGTTGATCGGTGTGGCTTCAGCATGAACCAACAAACTTTGCGACTGACACCTGCGGCCGAGAGATGCAAAAGCAGCTTGGATTCTGTCACAATTTGAATGAGCGGCAAAAGCTCGCCCAGCGTCGGGATGTGCGTTCCAAAGCCTCCTGAGTCAGCCATGGAGCTTTCCGGAAGTGAAGGCATACAACATCATAACGGTCCTTGCCTCCCACTCTTTTTCCTTCCCCACAGTGCTCGGAGCAGCTGCCACCTTCTTCACCTGTAGAATGTGCCATGATTCCGTCGCAAGCTGTCGGAGGCTCGTGCTTCGGGCCACCGTTCGTGCCGACCAACCGCCTATGCCTTGCCTGCTCGGCGTCGAGTTCCGCCAGCAAGCTCTTGAGAACCTTCAGCGTTGCTGCCAAGGATGCCTCTCAAACCGGTGACATACGGCATCAACATGGATCCGGTGACATATGGATCAAAAGATAGAAAGGCTGGGAACATTGGTCTCGAGAAAGCGCGTCGACGTTGGACATCTTGGGCGAGCCTCCTGACGTTTGCGCTTTGGAGCGAAGCTTGCAGGCTCTGGATTACCCTTTTCCAGCTGCTCGTGCCTAAAGGCCTGCAGGTCAGCGATCAGTGAACAGCCCAATTCGACTGGAAAGGAAATGCACCAAGAAACGAAAGTGGCAAGTCTTCATGCATCATGGAGGTGTTCACAGAGTTGAGATCTAGTGCTGCCGGCCTCTGCTCCCAGTTGCGAGGACAGGAGGGCCACTGGTCGGAGGAGGTCTGCCGCAATCTCCATCCGACGCGCAGCCCGTTCGGCGCGCAGCCTCGGTGCAACGTGTTCAGCGCATGAGTCGCATCAGCACAAACAGCAGCTGTTAGGACATCAAAGGACTGAGTGTCAAACACTGCTTCACTTGATTCTTTCAAGGCTGGCGCCAAGAATTCCTGTCCCAGCCGCTGCACACTGATGTGCAGCGTGTAAGTTTATGTAGTGCGCGTGCGCATCTGTGAATTTGCTGCGAAGTGCTCATTTCATGAGCCGTCCATTTGGCCTCGGCTGCCCTCCGCCGCTGCGCCGCCTCTTTCACCATGGCTCTCTGCGCCTGACGACAAATACGACACAGCAGATCTCAGCAGTAGCATGGCCTGTCGCCTGTCGCTCTGGTCAAACCAAAGCATCGTGGCCTTGGCACGGCTGATGGCACGGAGTTCATCGAGGTCAGCGGCCAGCTGCTGCTCAAAATCTCCATCAACCTGGAGTGGGCCCAAGCAAAACAGCCTCCACAGGCACAGTGCCTGTGAAGGTTCAACTGCAAAACAACCGTAGTACTGAAGCTCTCCTCCTCCAGCTGCTGCTTCAGCTCGGGAGTCTGTTCTAAAGGTCCCTGTGCGAGGTCAGTGTGGAGAATCGTCCCTTCAACATCCCTTCAACACATAAAAGCAAATGACATGACTTCGTCTAGAACTCTTGTGCTCATGTACACATCCGAAAAAGCAGTTCGTCTCTGTTTCGCTGGGCTTGGTCCGCTCTCTCATCCGCCTCTTGGATGTCCGAGTCCTTTGCCGTCGGACAGTCCTTGCGCAAGCGGCCCTCGAGCATTCGAAGAGAATACCTGCAGTGCAGCGGGCAGTGGCAGCCAAGGCTGGCAGCTACTGAGCAGCTCATGATTTGTAAGCTTCCCAGGGGGGGGCACAGGAGGACTGAATGCTTTTGCTTGAACCTTAGAGAGCTCGTGATGCACCGGACAGCTGTGTCTCAGCTCGCTGCGGCAAAAACAAGGTGTGTTGCAGGAGGCTGAGTTGATGACTCCGCAGTGACTGGAAAGTTGATCATGTCCATGTGCAATCTTCTGATGATCTTCAAAGACCTCAGATTGCACAAGAAATCTGGGATTCGGCTCCAGCTAAGCCTCAAAATGCAAGAGTTCCATACCCTCGCAGAACTCGCAAGTTCTTGAACACACCACTAGCTCGTAAGACAAACATCGGTCATGGCCAGTGTAGCAAAAACAAGGGGATCTGCATCGGCTAGACTAGAGCAATCTGCAACTGCAAGAGCAATCTGCAACTGCAGTTCAAGTGAAGCTGTTGACGATTCAGGTGTGCTCTTCTGTCGGCAGAACTGTCTGCAGAACAAGCCCACCATCTCACTACTGCAGGAAACTCAGCAGACAACAAAATTACACCAGCATAAGCCCCAAAAAGCATCAGCATTTTTTCGGCGTCGGCGTCAACTCCGAAAATTCCATTGTTGGCGGAAACGAATGCAAGTGTACTAAGTATACTTTTGAAAAGCCTCGAGCTGTTTGGGAACTGCACGCCCGGACACAGAGCCGGGCCACAGAGCTCAGGGGCGCGGCCAAGACAAGAACAAGACCCGGACACAGAGCCGGCCACAGAGTTCAGGGGCGCAGCCAAGACAGGGACAAGAGGAGGACAAGACCCGGACACAGAGCCGGGCCACAAGTCGGGCACAGAGTTCAGGGGCGCGGCAAAGACAGGGAGAAGAGGAGGACAAGACCCGGACACAGGGCGCAGCCAAAACAAGGACAAGAGGAGGACAAGACCCGGGCCACAGAGCCCAGCCACAGCCACAGAGTTCAGGGCGCGGCCAAGACAAGGACAAGAGGAGGACGAGATCCGGATACAGAGGCGGGCCACAGAGCCCAGCTAGACAAGGACAAGAGGAGGACAAGGCCCGGACACCGAGCCGGGCCACAGAGCCCAGCCACAGAGTTCAGGGGCGCGGCCAGTGAGCGTGGCCAGCTCCATTTTTCTAAGATAGAACCGAACCCCAACAGTAAACTGTTTGGGGAAAAACATGGAACTTCAAGCATCTCTGTCTTCGTCGAGCGGCTGAAAGGTCAGTGCCCTCTTCTCACGAGGTTCTGCATACCAAGCCTTAAGGAGAAAGCACACATTTGAGTCCCACAGCCATGAAGCTCTGCAGAGATATGATAGCCAACAAAGGATGCTAATCTCATGGGGCCTTGTTGATGCGAGCCTTCTCTTGTCTCACCACCAGGGCAGCACCCCTAGGCTCATCCAGATTTATGAGCACCATGCAAGCGTTGACAACATTGCCACACTGCCCAAGTTTCTTACATCAAAACGCGGGTTTGCTCTTGCAGACGCCGTCTCTCTGTCTCAAGCTCTTCAGCCTCCACAAAGGGTCCCAGTGATACAAAACCACGTGGTATGAGCGTCTTGCATCTGGACACACCAGAACAACCAAAAATGACACTAACCATTGACACAGTTGGAATATTATATCCCGCCCTGAGCACCTGCTCCTGTGCACTTTCCAGGTGCTCTTTACGAATCCTGTCCAGCTGAGCCTGGAAAAGGTGGGTCCATGCCGTTCACAAGGGCAAGATCTTTCATCTTGCACCACGTCCAGAGTCTAGGCCCTCTAGGCGCCTCTGTAGCATCCATTGCCTTTGTCAAGGCTGCAATCTGTTCCATGCTTTTGGCCTTGTCCCTGAGAGATTCAACAGTTCTTTCGGGATCGGCCGCACCAAAAATGCACGTCCACGCCTGTCTCGTTGTCTGCGCCATCGTCTGGTCAAAGCCCGTGTGACCCTCTGCAGGCATTCTTGGGTGTGTACGTCACGACGTCGCATTTGCTCCTGGAGATGTTCACTCGCTCTGTTCCCTCCTTGTCGCTCTCCCTCCCACTCAGTCTGTCTCTCGCTCTCTCTCTCTCTCTATCAATCTCCTCTTTCTCCTCTCTCTCTCTTGGTATGATGGCTCACTCAAAGTGCTCAGGAGGCGCAAAATGTATCAACTATAACTTAAGGTGACCCGAGGAGTGCAGTTTCTCTACTTTTATACATGCATATATAGGTCCTTCATCTTGAGACCGATGCTGCGTTCCCAATCATACTCCTGTTGACCTTGCGGCTTACACTGTGATTCCAAAAGCTGCACAAAGTTCAACAAATCAGAAGTGAACTTCCGCCTTCAAACATGATGAAATCCCGCTTGTCATCTTTTGTCATCCTGTGCCGGGGTACTGTGACAAAGGACAGCGTTGCAAATGGCCAGAAACGCGCCCCCATCACACAGCTGTTCAAGACGAGCCGCTTGTCTTCATCAGTGGCAATCGCACGCATTTGCGAATCCACAACTGGCCTCAAGTGTAATGCTCTTCTCTGGTGGATTCTAGCATCCCGCCAAGACTTTCCCTAGCAAGCTCTAGATCAATATCTCACGAATCATTTGGCAGTCCTGTGTCTTTTGCCCCTTTCCGAGCCCTTCACGCGTGATCTAGCTCCTCTTGTAGCCTCTTTCCCAAAGCATCAAGGCAAGCATGGAGCTCTGGAAGCGCTTCTGCTGTTGCGTGCCTGGGAAGCTCACAAAACACGGACTCCGTGCACCCGGTGCACACCGGTGGATCAAACAGACAGAACTGAGGACGCCCGGCACGAGGTCCTTGTCCTCCCCACTGGGCAGTGACTCTGAGCTTCCCTGAAGAACATCCGAAGATGCAGGGTCTGAAGACAAGCTATTTGCAAACTGCTCTTCACACACACACACAAGGACGAGCTATTTGCAAGCGAAGTTCCCAAGCAGCATCAGGAACACCTCGAGAAGCAGGCCTGGAAAAACTTGAGATGAGGAACAGCTTCAAAGTGCTAAAACGCCGCATGGAAATCACAGCTGCCTTGCGATTGCCTCTGGCGGGGGTCGCAAAGCCACAACCTGAAGTGCTCTGAAGCAGGTGGCCGCGGTGGCAGAAACCTGGCGCTCGGTCTCTGACGTTGAGGTTCAGATGCAGTATATCACGTGAGGAGATGTTGTTGGTGCAACTTTCTGACAGTTCGAGACCGCTAGCCTAGCTGGCACCAGGGAGGGAAACAACAAAAGACACCTGGACGAAGCTACGGTCCCCTCCCAAACTCCAGCTCGCCAGCTTCGAACGGCACGGCGACCGTTCCGTAGACTTGACACCACAAAACAAACCGGTGGGCGACACCCGGTCTTAGGGCGACATGTCTTCTGGCTGCTGTTTTTTGGGGAGAAGGGGTTGCACGTCCCAAGCTGTGAAGGCTCCACGTCAAGACCGGGAAAAACCGGATTCCACCAAGAACTGGAGCAGTTCAAGAGCCACCCGCACCTTTTCCACAACCAGCGCGCAATCGGACGTGCGAGCAAAGCCACCAACACTACAGTTGCTACAACCAACAAGTGCCCTTGTGGCAGTTGGCGCTGGGGTGGATCGTTGCCTTGAAGAGTGCTTAAGTTTCTCCGTGACAAAGCTTCCAGGTTGATTCGCAACCACACAGGCCAATGATCGCTGGTTCTCTCGGGATTGTGGTGGTGCAGGACACCAACTGCTTCAACACCTCCTCTCAACGATTCTGACACTAGTATGTGGTCTATCAAAGATCGTTCATCTGCAAATTGGAACTTTCCGTCCCTATTCTTGTCGTGCCACGCGCTATATCTCTCAGCTTGTGGAACGCTCTCGAGAGCATTCCACAGGTCTGGCTTTCCGTCGTTGTCTACATCTTTCAACATTCCAAGCACCGAAGACGATGGTTTCTCCCCACCAGGACCTGGAGCGTCTGAATCAAAGTCATTGAGGTCCCCAAGAACGATGACATCTTTGCCCAGCTGCAACGCTTTTCCAATGATTCTCTGCGCAATTCTGGCCTGCCCTTCACGCTGCAAGCGAGCATCTAGCTGATGCGGACGTGCCTTCAAATGCAGGCCTAGAATCTGTAGATCTCGTCCACCAACGGCAAAATCAGCAACTAAATGTTTGCTGATTCCGGTGCTTTTGCCTCCCGGAAGGTCCGCCCGCTCGCGGCTTCGCCTGATCGACTTGGGACCTATCTGCGAGAGCAAGGCCACCTGTTGTCGAAGGTAGGTGTCAGTTCCTGCGATCATGAAGGGCTGGTAGGATCGATTCAGTCTCCTCCCTACAGACTCCAAGATCATACAGTTCTCCACCTCAGCCAAATGAATGATGTCTGCATCCAGTTTGTCAAGCACGTCAGCAACAGCCTTGACTTTGGATGATACTGCAGCAGCATCCAAAGCAGGAGTCGGCGGAGGGTCATCGATTCCATCAAATAGCCACTCGACATTCCAGGTCGCAACGGTCAAAAGTCCTGCAGGGCAGTCACATGATCTAGTCAGGAGGAGGTGTATGTATACATATGTATACATATATATATATACATACATAACATACCATACCATACCATACCATACCATTACATTACATTACATTACATACATACATACATAGTTACATACATATATATACACAGGGAAAGAACGAGATTTACTACCAGGCGTGCAGAAGAACATTGAAATCCCCTTGTCTTTATGATGTTTCATGATGTTTCGATTGGCTTCCCTGTTTGCCTTGGACTCGTGGCTCTGAGGGAGTATGCTGTGTGGGACAGTCCACCACATTTCGAGGAATCTGCGATGTAGTGGGCGGTGCGTCCGGCGCGCCCCTGTCCATGCAGATTCCAAACACGGATCAGACATGCCCGTACAAGTGAGGAGAAGAAAAAAAAAAGAAGTAAAACAAACTATATAGTAACAAGAACGCTACGTTCGGAGCAAAGGGCATCGCTACGAACGGAGCAAGGACGAAACGAACGGGGCCCCTGGCCTTACTAGTAACAAGAACGCTGCTACAGTAGTCATTCTTGAGCACATCCTCTCCGTCCATCGGACCCACCGGATCCGCCGAGTCTTTCGTCACGACCGTCTGGAGGCCTTGATCGACATGAGGCGGACGGACTTGACCAATAGCAGAAGTGTCTGCGACCAGCAGCCTCGCATGCATCGGCCTTGGTGATGGTCTGCCCCTTGGAGTTGCATGCGCACCAAGGGTCGGAACCTGTGCAGAGTTGAACTCCACCCAATGCCCGCCGCATTTTACAACTGTTAGAGATGCCGCTGTTTCCTTGTCTAACTTTGGCGGCTCCACACTCAATGAGCCTAGTGCGACAAATCCAAGAACCGTCTACGCTATCTGAAATTATGTGCACGTGTGACATGTGTCTGTGCGCGACCCTTGGGCCTTTTGGCTTTGGCTTGTTGAGTATGTAGGGGGGTCACCCAAGCACTTGACGGGTGATCGAACGAAGAGGGGAAGCAGCTTCGGGCTGACATCTGGCATCAGCCGGACATGCCCGCCGCGATTTGCCACATACAGTGGTTTCAGAGTAGGATGGCACAGACCCCAAGATGTCCTTTTTCAGGTAATCCCCATTCGCTACTAGTAACAAGTGAACGACTACTAGTAACAAGAAGCTACTAGTAGCTAGGGCATCGCAACTAGTAACAAGGAAAAAGCTACTAGTAGCCATGCTCTTTCCTTTCCATACAAAACCACCATTTGGGGACGATGCTGCTGGCGCCATTGGCTGCTTTCAGCTTTGGAAGCTTGGAACTTTTTAATTTTTGGAGCTTTGGAACTTTGGATTCGTGCTGTTACTTTGGTACTCGTTTGACGTGTCAACCGCCACAACCACTTCGTCCCCGTCCAAAAATCACCCTTTTGAATCACATCCATCGGCAAACCGGGGCAGCCGTGGCCTTCAGACCGTGCGCAAATGACTGTCTCTCCTAGACTCGACCGTGCCACAAACAGCCGGCAAGCAGAGAAAAACCGGCACACCTGGTGAAAACGACCGGTCAACTGCAAAAATCGGTGTGCCGTAGCGGCTCTCGGGGGGTTGCGAGCGGAACTGTTCAAGCAGTGCGGCAGGCGGCAAGGGTGAAACAATGGCAAGCGGAGAGGGAGAAGCGGAACTATCTCGCCCCCAGAAATGGGGACCAACACAAGGACCAACTGAGACAGTGCTACCTTCTGATTTCCAGTTAGTGAGTTTGAGAAAATAGAAGTGCGACATAGCACATGGAAAACAAATCACTCGCAAATAGAATATGGCGTACATGAAAGCACTTACCTCAAGTGCTGACAAGTTCAATTGAGCACTCTGCAGGATATATCTATACACATTTGTTTATACACATATATGATATGCATATTGTACTGGCCGATGTTGAACTGGTTGATCTTGAACTAGTACTGGAACAGTTCGCATTCATCTCACATTCTAAGTGCACGCCCGCACCCATTCTATGCACAATTGCAGTTAGAGTCACAAATATATATATATACAGAATATATAGTGATGCATAAAGGTATCTCTAACATCCTTGACTGATTATGGTTTTGGAATTGGTCAACATTCTAACCGCCAACCTTCATGCAATTTGTGCAGTACGCACATTTATTTCAATGGCATTCACTGCCTCATGTCGCACCGGTCGTTTTCGGTGCCTCGTGTCGCTCCAGGGCGTTGGTCACATAGGCTCATCCAGCTCTACGGGCACACCGCAGGGGCGGAGCCATCCAGTTGCACAAGATCCATTCGGTTCAAAGTCTGGCTGAATTGATGTGAACCCTAGCTTGACGATAGAGCTTGGCTTCTAAATTAACCTAGCTTACCTAGCTTTAGCTCTTGATGTGAACCCTGTCACGGTTAATGTGTCCGGAAGCCTTGTTGCCCCGTCAGGCCTCCCAAAGACAGCAACTTATTAGTGAGTGCGTTGGCCAACAAGCCGACAACGCGCTTGCCAAGGTGATTCCACCTTGGTTGATTCATGCATTTGTTACTGGCTCACTTAAAATTCTATGAAACTCTACATCACCCTTCCTGCTCCAAATGTCTGCGGATCCCTTGGAAAAGGCACGTGACGAAAGGACTGGCCTCTGCAAGAGCTTCGTGGGTTGAAAGTTTCTTCATGACCTGCACCCAATCATCGTGTGAGCTTCGCTTCTCCAAACACAGAAAAGACCGTGTTGCATGGTACCGCTTGTCGCATGTCAACACTCGAGTCGTGTGTCGTTTGTCTCCTCGGTGCTGGGGAGTTGCTCTTTCAGGAGTTCCTAGGAAGCGGCTAGGGATGATCCATATGCTTGCAAGAAGGCTGCACCTCATAAGAACGAGGGAGTTCCCTTAAGGCTCTGGCAGGTCCTATGGCATCGGTGGGTTCGCTGCCTAGGGCTTTTCTCAAAGCCTCTCTGCGAGCTCTCACCTGGCCCGGCCAGGTTTCGGCATCCGGTAAGCCAAGCGTCCAGTGCTTACAAGGAGAGCAGAGAGCCCCCTAGTAGCGTCCTTGCTCCTAAACAAAAAGACAACCAAACGAAAACGTACTGAATTTTTCCGTGCCAGCCAGACCTTTCGCTGGGCAAGGTCTATGCGAGCTACCTGGCACCAAAACGTTTGGTTGTTCACCTAGTCTCATTTCATGGTGCTTCGACTGCTTGTATAGACTACTTGGTGCATCCTTCCCACCTTGGCTGCTTGCTTCTTCTCCTTTGCTGCTTCTGCTGCATTTGTCACAGACCTGCAGGCATGTCCACCAGCAATCCTAGTGAAAGCCCTCTGACATAAGTTGATTCTCACCTGCTGCTTGACTCAAGAACTGTCTAAGGATGGCGCCATGTCAACGATCTCAATTCCTGTGCCTTCTTTGGATCCAATTTGTTTTCAGCCTCCTGCCAACACAGCGACGATATCTCAGGTTACGTTCTCTTCTTCGTTCAGAAGCCCACTGCAGATTCCTACGGATACACGCTTCATAGTGATCCACACAAAAAGGCTGGACTGCCTTCGCTCGCCCTTCGATTCTGTCTGTCAAGTCTTTCTCCTGAACCTCAGCCACTGATTCTGCACGGCATTTCTTCTACATCCATAGCTCTCCTAAAAAGAACATGGAAAAAAACAGGTGGCAGGCCTTGATCTGATTCAAGGCCGTACTCAGGTACATGGCAAATTCCTGGGGTAACTCCAAACCAGCAACATCCCGTCATCGTGACGGAGCGCTTGCAACGCACCTCGTCGATGCGTGCAAACTCACCCTCCAGAACGGTCTCAAAATCCTGAATCACTGGCTGCAAGGGCACTCGAAAGCATGGATCTAGCACTGGAATGCTGGAAAATGCGGTGAATCTTTCAACGCACCGTGATCTTTCAGTGCACCTCTCGATCTTTTTGAACTGCACTCTCACAATGAGCACTGCGGGTCATCTCTTGAGGCTCTGCGTGAGGTCATCTCTCAGGTGGGTTGCCTGTTGTCTGCGCGCGGTTGATCAATGATATCAATTCCGGAGTCTCCCCCTCAAGCAAACACCTCATGCGATGATCTCCTCCCTCGACTTCTTGCACCTCCACACCGATCACGCTCGCCATCTCTCTACTGTCGGAAATGGGCACCGTATCATCCATGGTGCCATGAACAATGATGACCTGTCCGACATAGTCATCTGATGCAAGCTGTTTGGCCATGGCAGCATAGATAGCAAGTGGGCTGTAAGTTGGATCATACCCCCCTCTTTTGCCAACTGCAAGTTTGTAGGCAGGGGCTATGAGGATCGCAGGTCCTTTCCAGAGTCCCTTTGCAATGGCTAGGCAGGCCACAGCACCTCCCCAAGAACTCCCAATGAGAACCCCCTTAGAAGATTGTGTCCGGAAGAGCTCAGATTCTTGACACTGAAGGCAACCATCCAAGGAGCACTGCACACTCCAGCTATACAAGTTCCAGGGCTTGGTCATCAAGGCGTTCTTGACCAAGTTTCGAAGGATGCTGTTGCGCTTCCCCAGGCTCAAAAGCGACATGTGCATGTCAACGCATACCACATCATCATAGTGCTCTTGTAAGAATCTGTGCTTTCTTCCACCGCACCCAGACTCCAAGCCATGGAAAAAGATGATTCGTAAAGCCATGGGGTCTCAGTGCGCAAGACCAATGTCTATAACATCCAACTTGTACAACGCTGCAACTCCTGCTCACCTAACGGTTGGTATCGCTTCGCCACTCAGGCAACATGTGAAAATGACTTGCTGGCATGCTCCGCCCTATTGTTGCCTGGAATTTTCTCCTGCTCCACCCCTAGGAGATGACTTTTATTACAAATATCTCACTATAGATTGGATCAAGCACTCCACACCTTGGGCTAGAGGCAGCTGATGCACTGCCAAAAAGAAAGATATTCAGATTCAATGTCCCATCGCACGTCCCATGTCCTTCTCCAGGATTTCCCAGCACGAGGCGAGCTTCGACCTGAACCAGGGCACGGAAAGTATGGATTTCCACTGCAAACCTCGTCCAGGTGACCAAGTATTCGTTCGACTTTGACTTTGACCGCTTTGAGCGAGTTCAGGCCCGTACACATCTGGGCGTTTGCGTCCCGTTTTCTCTTCCTCCTCTGAATCCCAGCTGTCTGGCACCTGAGGGGATGCTAGTGGTTAGTGCAACTTGAAAAATGCCACTAGTCACTGGCGCAAAGCTGAGTAATCCGGTCTCAGATGCCAACGGATAGCCGCAAAGCTTCTCTGAAGAGCGGTGTTGTGCGAGCAAGATCACGTCGCAGGGTCACGGAAGTGGTAAGGTCCTGGATGGCCTCCTCGAGAAACATGGGGCAAAAAAGAGCCCCTTCAAGAGGTTCCCAGTTTCCAGGCCGTGAGAGTCTGGAACCAGGTGGGTTTGGGGCACGGATTTTCCAGCGCGCGATCGTTTTTTGTGGCAAAACTCGGCCTTTGGGATTTCAAGGATAACCATCATAATGCTCACGTTGTCAGGTTCAATATTGCAACTATAAACACCGATTACAAACCCATGAGGATCTGAGATCTGCAAGTCAAGCATATCGGCAAACAGCAGCTTCGAGCGAAAGTGATGCCAAATGCTTCGGCACACGTTCAGCAAGCGGTGCCCAAAGGTGCTCAACACGACCATCGCACGACAGATCAAACGATCGATCGCATGATCCGATCGCTCCTGGTCCTCAGACCGTGCATTGGACGTCGGTGACTCCTTTGCGGCTTCAGCTTGCGCTTCGACCTGGCAAGAGGCAGGTCACTCCCTTCACCCATTTTCAACCAGAAAACAGGTGTTTTCGGGGCCTCCGCCTGGCACGCGAGGTCCTGCAAGGTCACGAGGTTTGGGACAACTCCACAGTAGGTCTGAGCACACGAGCAAAAAGGACCTTTGTCTTGGTCCTCCAAATATTGTTCTCTGATCTCTTCGGGGCTGCGTGGGTCTTCCATCACACCTGGGTTATGGCCAAACAGGCACAAACAAGCACGCGGTTGGTGTTTATCTGCAATGACAGGCCTTCATCTGCTAGCTCCTGCTCTTGGTCTTCTTTGTCTCTCTCTCCAGACCTGGATTTGAAGCATGTCACATGAAAAGGATGAACAGTGAACAGTGTATAGATCATGTATAACTATTGCACACTTGTCGCCCACCGCATTGGAAAGCCCTTGTGCCGCTCAGCCTTTCTATCCCCTCTGATTGGCACTCTGCAGAGTGCTTGCTCTCCCAAGCCCGTGAAACCTTGACTGTACATGGGGCGTGGATTGTGGAATCGCGAATGCGAGGACCTCAGGCCGAGCCCAAGTCACTAAGAATAAAAGGTTCCACTGGCCCCAGGCTTTCCATCGACCTCTGAATTCCTTGCCTCACTTCCATAAGGTCTCTGCTGGAGATCTGAGGTCCAGGTCTCCCTCTAGACGACTCCTTCACGAAGCGGGCATACTCCTCATCCAAGGCCCGTGTGGCCTTGCCCTGCGCACGCCGTCGGGCCGCCGCGCGGCGGAGCCGGTCGCCCACAGAGTCGTTTGACGGCGCGGCCGACGGCGCGGACGGCAGGCGCCCCAGGTGACGCATGGTGGACGCATCGCTTGCGCCGCTCTGGGCCTTGGATCCATCCCAGAGGGTGCGGGGTTCAGCTGTTCCAGTGGAATGTGCAAATGGAACATTGAAGTCCCAAGGCACCTCTTCTGCGAGATTTTTCTGAGCCCAAACCTTCCAAACATCAGATTCTGGCCGTCTGCCTTGGGGCTGCACATGGCCCCGTGACTCCGCAGAATCATGACGTCTCTCCATCTCGGAATTTGGCAGCGCAGCCGGAGGTGCTGGCAGAGATGCGGGGCGCTGAAATCTGGCTGCTGGAGGTGCTTGCAACGTGCCCTGCAGGCTCTCTAGGAGCTCTTTGTTCCGCCGTTCGGCCACTGCTAAACGAGCTCTTGCGCTGCCAAGTTCTTCTGCAAAATCAGCTTGTATCTTGGCCAGCTCGGAGCGCATTTGCTCGACTTCCAGCGAAGCTTCCTCGGTGGGCCCCGTGGGCACGTTGGCAAGTGTCCGTGCAATGGCTTGCTTCGCTTCCACTGCCTCCTGCGCTTCCAAGCGGCAACATGATATTTCGGCTCTGTGAGCATGGATTTGTTGTTGCAGCCTCTCCTTATCTGCTTCTGCCTTGAACATGACTTCGTTCAAGTTGATTTGCAAGGACTGCTTCTCTTGCTGCCAAGCTCCTTTTTCATCAGCCAGCTGCTGATTCATGCGATGCAACTCTTGACGAAGCGCCACCAACTCCCCTTTGTGCCGCTCTTGCTTGGACATCTCCGTGGCTTTTGCCTGGGCTATCTGCTCAAGCTCCTCACGTTGTGCACGCAAGGTCGCATTCTGTTGCGCAAGCTCGGACATGCTGTGATCCAACTCCGAACGGAGCTTCAGAACCTGGTTCTCCTTCAGCCGTTCTGTCTCCCAGAACATCCTCTTCTCCTCTTGAAGCTGGGTGAGCTCACCACGTAAGTGCGCCACAAGCCCATCCTCCGAACGGAGCTTCAGAACCTGGTTCTCCTTCAGCCGTTCTGTCTCCCAGAACATCCTCTTCTCCTCTTGAAGCTGGGTGAGCTCACCACGTAAAGCTGTGCGCAGGCGATCCTCTGACAACTTCAAATTCACAGAGAGTTGTCCGGCTTCTTGGCACAACTCTGCCACCTGATGGTCCTGATGGTCCTGATTCTTCTGACGGTGACGGTGAAGCTCCAGATCGGCTGGAGTGGCCCGTGGGGGGCCAAAGTCCAAATCAAAGGAAGCGGAGCTGTCCTGACCCCACCTGTCCCTCAATGACGAGGGTGCATGAGGAAGAGCGTGATGAGAATACCCAGAGTGCTCTCTCTGCTTTGCCTTCCAGCTTTCCCTTAGGCCAGAGCCTAGTGATGCTTTCTCAAGTTTTTCAGGCTCGCTGCTCTGTGGACTGACTGAGGTCACCAACTCTGGCCTGCTTCCCAAGGGGCTTCCATGGCTAGCAGTCTCCGTCTCGTCGTCACTGGCACATGTGCCTTCAGGATAAGCTCTGAAGACCTCGAGCCATGTTTTGGAGGGCCCTGCTTCGGATGTAACAGTTCTTTCAATTGCAACACCCACCTCCGGCCAGTACAGTTCACGCACCGTCGCATCTTGCTGTTGTTCACAAGTGAGGCCGATGTTCGGCACCACCTCCTGCAGCAGCCAGCCCTTTGGCATCTTGGACAGCACTGCAAGCATGGAGCCTTGCACCAACGTGCTTTGCCCACGCTCTGGAAATTGAGTGCGCTTGTACTGATGGTGGAAACGGCCTGCACTGATGGACAGGTACAAAGAACCTCCTTGACTCCCAGTGCGTCCCACAGTGGCAAGAACCAAATGCTCTAAGAGTGGCGGAAGCTCATGCAGTTGGAGCTCGAGTTCCAGGTTTCCAGGCACCTGACCCTTGGCCCACACTACGGCACTCCGGCTGCACCCCAACTTCTCTGGACACTCATTGGCATCCAGCAGCTCCAGATCAGATCCAAAAAGCCCACAGCGCAGTTCCAACGCGTTGAAGCCTTCAGCCTGCAGGATACACCGCAAGGAGGCGCGACCTTCTCCCTGCACGAAGGAAGGGAGTGACAGGACCTTCTCGCCATGGGCCATGCTGACATGCTCAATGCCTCACTCATCAAGTCGACGTTTCTGACATACGTGACGCGTGGCAAGATGCCAAGATTTGTGCAAGTCAATTTCGGTAAAGGGACAGTAACTTCGTCCTTACTGCAAACAAACTTATATACTGCAAAGGACAGCCATATACAGTAACTATGACTGTTCCGCAAGTGGTCAGGCTATTCTCTCAGTGCAACTGGGAGTGGCAACATCCTTGCCTGCGAGGGTGTGGTGTATTTACAGTCGAATCAAGCTTTTTCTTCATGGCTCTATGGTCTTGATTGCTACGCTGAGGGAAGATTCAAACAGTCAACTCTGCAAATGAAAGGTCACTTAGCATGACATCCATGCCAACTGGTTGTTCATCTTGCAGGCATGCCGCAAGAGCTTCAGCTCCTCAGTCCAAGCCAGTGCGAGTGGCCCATGTTCAAACCATTATGAGACAAATTCTTGATTAATAACCCCCGCCCTGTTTGAATTTGAAACACCTCTTCATGTGGGCAGGGTCATTTAATCAAGATCTTACATTACGACATAGACTGGTCAAATCCAAGTTCGTGGCTTCTTCCAGCATCACAGTGGTCAGTAGATTTCCTGCGTTGGGTGATAATTTTGCAATTTTTTAGCCATTCAACAGCATGTATAACTCAAGCTTCTGGATAAAGTCCTTCATCCTCAACTGCGTCACCTTGATACATGCGTTGAAATGACCCAAACACCAGCGTTTAGCGTCGCGTCTAGAATGGTAGATTCACCAAAGAAGTTTGAAGCCTCGAAAAGCCCTGAGGCAATTACCAGCTGTTGGTGCTGAAGGTTCTTTATCCTTGTCGGCGCCTGGGCGTGAGCTGGTTGGGTCCAAGACAGTCAAGATTCTGAGACTAGAGCCTGGTTCAGTTGTCTCAGCACCTGAGCGTGTTTGAATGGCCAGCTGAAGAAGTCCATGTCAAAAACTCATTGAGTGTTATGAGAGGTCATGTGTTCTTCGCTTTTGTGCAAGTGCCTGACTCGGAAGACTTTCGGCCCATGTTGAAACACTTGGCGCTATAAACTATAGTTAAGCACTTGCCTGCTGCTTGCTGCATTTTTGGCGTTCCATCACCTCAACAAACACACACACACACTCCCACAGT